CACCGACAGATATTCCTATTCGAAATGGCAATTCGTTTTTTTTTTTTGTTATGGGGACCACATTCTTTTTATTCCTAACTTAAATTTTAATGATTTTCTGATAGTTCCAAAATACTGAAAGTGTATGCAAATAAATTGTTTAATATACTCGTTTATCACGATGTAGCGAACAAAGTTGGCGTTTGCTTTTGCCGTTTTTGAGCGTTCTCAATTTATAGTAAACAACGCATTTTCTCACATTTTCTTTATTAATTATTTTTATAGATATCATATTTTTACAATTTATAGCAATTAAATTCGTGCTAAGTTGAACCATGCTACTTGGACACGTACATGTAAACACATTCTTAAATGGAATTGCAACTTTGAACCGTGGTACCATAAATCACATTTTGTATGCGAGTTCAGAGTTGTTGAATCGTATTAAGCATGGATATAAATAGGGAGTTCGTCCACACGGTTGTTCCATGCAACTCTGTATGAAGTAAAATATTTAAACAGTTCTATAAATTACATTTATGCTAAGCTTTACTATAAATTTAACAGCTCAGATCATTTTTTCGTGACTGGTTGAGCTTTAATTATTATTTTTGAATGTTGATTAATATCAAGAATTGACACACGTATTAACAGGGTTAAAGCGAAGGTACACTACATGCGTTCGCCGGCAAATGCGTCACGCTGTCAATATCAAATCAAATTTAGCACGTGCGTTTGTATGACAGCTGTTACAGACGACGCCTTTACGAATGCGTTAATGCAGCTGCCTTCGAAAGTAAACCAAGTTGCTACTTTTCTGTTGCGTTCATGCGTTGACATTTCAAATTAAATTTGTGGATATGCTTAGCAGTTGTTTTTTGTTTACAAAACAGTGAGCGGCAAAGCGCAAGGTGTGTAACAGCAAATTTTTTAACGTCGTCAGCGCTCAAACGGATCTACGCAATGCCGCATCAAATAAAAGTATGTACCTTCAGCTTTACATCGGCATGAACGCAGTTTGAAAGTGTGTCTGATCGACTCATTTATTTTGTTGCATATACATTTTTGCGTTTCAAACCAGCGAATTTGTATGGAGCTCTACTATTTACGAGCCTCTCGTAAAATTGCGAGCCAAATTCGATGCGAAAACGCCCTCGTAAACTTCAGTGTTGCCGAGGGGCCGAAATTTGTATACTAGAATATAAAATAAAATAATGAATTTCGTCCACTGACTGTATTGACTTAGGTTTTTTGCAAATTTTCAGCATTTTTAATCGTATTTTAGCCAAAATTGATAGAGACAGGATGGCCGGATGTTATGGAAAATACTACGAAACAAAAATTGCTTCACAAAATTTTGGGTGCTCTGTTAAGCAGTCTTTTTACGCAACTATTTACCCCTTTTCACAAAGGCGGCGTTCCCATAAAAGCCTCGTAAACGTACGAGTTTTACACGGTTTAAGACTTTACGAGTTTAAGGGAAACCCCTATTTGTAATAACGTTGAGCGCATTCGGAAACACTTGTTAAACCAAAATGAACATCAACGTCATAAAATATGTATTTCTATATGGTGGAATCGCTACATTATTAGGCATATCGATTTTTTTACATTCGTAGAAACTCGACTGTGCTTCGACTAATCGATATTCATTGTAATTCGAAACGGAACCTCTACAGTCTTATTTAAAAGCTACATGCAAAAATTTGAACTTTTCGCCAAATTGATTGATTGATTGGTATGTTATTTGCAATTTTCGTATAGTAAAAGTCTGCGAAAGAAATCCAAAACTTATCCAAAACTTTCTAAACGTTAGCGCTATCGGTTAGCGTTTTCCTAAACATAGAATTTGCAAACTTTCGGTGTGTGCCAGAAGGCTTTAATTTTTCAACATTTCCATTGTTTTTTTTTTTTTTGGATAAAAAGAGCAAACATATTTACATGTGTATGTATGCATGATTCTAGTTTAGGATATATGTTTATTTTAGGTGTACGTAAATATCCACACATATTTGGAATCTTCGATACACTGTTCAACAGGTCGGTCCTCGCTCTACCAAAACACAAACCAAATAGGAAATATCAAAGAAGAATCAATACCAGTAGCAATGGCAACAAAAAGTACACGTCAACTACTTCCGGATGTAAATGGCCATGACCTCCCTCATTTCATTAAGAAAGTTCTGAATAATATATGCGACTTCTACGATGAACAGGACCTCATAGATGTAACATTTAAATTGTCTAATCCGACCGCTATGTAAGTGTACCACTGATTTATTTATGCATTTAACATTTTTGTTTTATTTAATTTGGCTTCTCACAGGATTCCAGCACACCGCTTAATACTATCAGCGGCAAGTCCATATTTTAAAGATTTATTCAAAAGCGACAAGGGCCTAACTCCTGTTATCGAAGTAAATGACATAGACAGTGACGCCTTTGAGCGTTCAATAACATTATGCTACACCGGCAAGGCACTCATAACCATCGAAAATGTGGACGCAATGCTGAAGGCAGCAATATATTTGAAGTTGGATGAAGCGGTTGTCGCTTGTGTTGACTATATTTTGCAGCATATAACTGAGTATACACTGCAGCGGGCATATTGCTTAGAGCGTGAAACTCAGTGTGTATCACTGCAAGAGAAACTCTTGGAATATGAAGTAAATAATTTCATGGAGGTGAGTCATATTCAGGATATTCAAGGAAACGCGTAAATGCCTGCAAACTTGTAAATAAACTGGTTTTCCCATAAAAGTTTACGTGGTTAACGTGGCTACGAAGCTTTTTCGCATTTAGAAATCGCAATATTGCTTTTCTTCATGACAAGCAGAGTTACCGGGGTAGTGCACTAAATTTTGAATGCACTGATTGCTCAGAGGTGCGCACTAGCACTCTGTAGGACCTGGGTCCGATCCCTGATGTGTACAACATCTAAATTATAAAAAACTTAACAGTGGCCATCTCTCCTCGGGCAATGGCAAACCTCTGAGGGTATTTCTGCCGTGAAAAAGCTTTTTATCAAAAAACCATTTACCGTTCGGAGGCGGCATAAAACTGTAGGTGAGGGACCTTTGTGTGACATCATCAAGACGCGCACACAAATCGGAGGAGCAGCTCGGCAAAGCAGTAGCAGATGTGTTAGATGCAAATATCTATTTTACTGATCGCGTAAAATTTATTCACTACCAATAAAAGCTTGAGTACTAATTTGCTTCACTATAATTATATTCAGCGGTAGTAAATAAATTTCTACTAAACTTAAATAGTGCAATATTTGAAATCACTACATACATATATACAGTGGTGAAAAAATTAATAGAAAAAAATTTTTTACAAGTTTTAGACATTTTTCTTTGTTTTTTTACTGTTTAATACTTAATTTTTTAGAAAAGTCGAACACATTACATAAAAACAGGATATAAATCAACATTTCAAACCAAGAGGTGGTCTTATTAGCATAAAAGAATAAAAGAAATGCCATCGGTGTTGAACAATATGCAAAAAAAAAATTTGCAAGCTTGGTTCGATTACAAAATTTTGAGTGATCAAATTGAAGTTGTGTGTTTTTCTTTTGCCAAATGCCCTTATTATGAGTTGCAATCGATTTTCGATCTTCGCTGGCTATCGACGATCGAAAGTGAAATTTGTATTATGAGCTATGCAGTTGGCGAATCTCCAAAGTGAGGTCCCTCAGACTGGGGTCCCCGGGATTTACCTGGCGTAGGTGGTCACGCTCATTTGCTAGTACAGCTGCTTCGGCCGGGAAATCTGGGCGGACTACCGCGATACGTCCGGACGGGATGAAGCGAGCCGCTGCGGCAGTGACAACCCTGCGGAACTGGCGTTCGTTAGTATGTACGTCTGTGGGTGTGGGAAGGGCGGCGAAGCTGCTCTCGGTAACATCCGCGAAGCCGTCCCAATCAGCTTTGTTAAAGTTGGTGTAGGTTCGGTGGTCCGCGGGAGCAAAGTCGGTGGGCTTATTGATCGAGATGATTATGAGTAGATGGTCTGATGCTAGTGTTAGCATAGGTAGCCATGATATGCGATTTATCAGACCAGCGCTAGCAATTGTGAGGTCTGGCGAACTGCTGCAGCTACCCACAATCCTGTTGGGGGCGTCGTCGTTCATGGTGCAGAATGTCGAATCGTCTATCTGCTCAGCCAAACGATTTCCCCTACGATCATTGGCCAGGCTTGAGTGCCAGAGATCGTGGTTCGCATTGAAGCAGGCAGCAGGTGACGGGGTATATAGACGTTAAATATTTCGAGCTCGACATCGCCTGACCGGACAGCTATGCCCTGACATTCTAGGGTGGTGTCCCTCGGGTCGATGTCTTCTTCGATAAGCCGATACTGCACTGTGTGGTGTAGGATGAAAGCTAATACGCCACCATTATCTCGCTCGCGATCTTTACGGAGCACATTGTAGGCGGCTCACTATAGGCAAAACACGAGTTTTTTTTCAAAATCGTAGATCTTCGGTTAGAAAAGAGATAATGGAATGAAAATTTTTTAATCGTGAAGATAAATGATTATATAATGTAGGAAAACTATAGAGAAGTTACAACAACAATAACTTAACCCTCAAAATACAGTTCAAAATGTCACTTTTTTTTGAAATTTTAGATTTTGGCTCCCATTCTATTTGAAAACACTATATTTAATACACCATTAGCACTGTTTCTGAGAGATTTCTCTTTATTTTATATTCAGACTCGATTTTTGGGACATTGGATGCTGTACCCGAGTGACCAGATTGGAAAAAGAAAAGCTTCCTTGAAACTCTAATAAGTCGTAAACTATCAGCTTTCACAAAAAATTTTATATAATAAAAATTGTTATACTGGTCGATATCTTTACGAAAGTGCAGCATTTAACCCTTTAATGCAGAGTCTGTCATATATGAGACGCTTTTTAACCCTTTCAAGGCAGAGGCAAAATGGTTCTCAACATCCATTGAACGTGCTTTTTCTCATGTTGACGTAGATATTAATCGTAGAAAATTTTTCCATAGTAAAATAATAATAATTATAAATAATTTCAAAAAAAGTGACAAATTGAACGGTATTTTGAGGGTTAAGTTATTGTTGTTGTAACTTCTCTATAGTTTTCCTTTATTATATGATCATTTATCTTCACGATAAATTTAATTTTTCATTCCATTATCTCTTTTCTAAGCGAAGATCTACGATTTTGAAAAAAACTCATGTTTTGCTGCTGCCCAGAGGAGCTTCTCGGAGCCGTGCAGGCTCTTCGGGTGCTGGGTGCATTGCGCGAGCGGGTAGCCGTGGAGGCTGATTGTGCCGTTTGGCTTGAGCAGCAGGGAACCACATAGCTTGTGGTCCTCCCCGGTGAGACCTAAGACTAGAGCAGGTACTTAGGTGACTCCATCCGTTGCATGAGTTGCACCTAACCGAAGTGGAGTTTGGATGCAGCCGATTCTGGCAAACATGGTAGAAATATGTTTCTGGTCCGGGGTTGGGCTCAATGCCCGGCCGGAGAAGAAGGATGCGGAGCAATCCGGGTGCAAGGAGTTGCTCCATGGACGAACAATGATTGAAGGGTATCGCCGATCTAAGCGGGGTTAGGTCGCCGAAACAACAGCCCTTGGTCTGGTAAAATCCGAGTCATTCCGGTACGTAGAACCGGCTGTCGTGGGAATGAAACTCGGTACGCCCGAAACTCGGTGCGAATGTTGTAAGCAGGGTTAGGATTTTAAGGCATTTGCCTATTTTGTGTGCTTAGTCGTTTCTGCAAACAAATTAAAGAATCTCATGTTTCATGTCTTCCTTGATTAAAACTTTAAATTTTAGTGTCGCATTTTTTTGCCTTTTTGACTATATTGCCTTTTTCTGCCTTTTCCGCATGTTTTGCCTTTTTTATATTTATCTCTTCATAGAAGTTCGCTGTATTGTACCAATCGTGTGACTACAAAAAAATTGTCTTCTCAAATTTTTTTCATTTTGTACCAACAGCCCGCATGTACAAATCTGTACAACAGTACCAGTCGTAAAACAATTAATTAAAATTTGCAATATTAAAAAAAAAAAAATTCAACAAAATTTCGTAAAAATTTCGAGATTTATTAATTAGATTTCCTAGAAAGATTCTGAGTATGTAGTTTTCTAGCCCATTGAATTCTAGTAGAAAAAAGTACACGTTTCAAATGGCTAAAAACTATGGTTGGTTTTTAGAATTTTTAAAAACGCTCGAAATTTTTACGAAAGCTTTTGAATATTCCAAAAAGTTGGAAACTTGGATTTACACATGTTTTGTTAAAAAATGTACTATATTTTTATAAAAAAATAACCAAAATTAAGTAAAAACAAAAGTAAGTTGTTAAAACTTGGCAAAAAGTGGTTAATATAATAATAATAATAGATTGGCGCTTACACATATGTTAGTGTTTGGCCGAGCTTCTCCTCCGACTTGTTGCGTGAGCCTTGATGTTGTCACACAAAGCGGAGGGACCTACAGTTTTACGACGACTCCGAACGGCGATTGTATTTTTATGAGAAGCTGTTTTTCATGGCAGAAATACACTCGGAGGTTTGCCATTGCCTGCCGAGGGACGACCGCTGTTAAGAAAAAAACCTTTTTTCTATATTTTTCAGCAATGTTGCAAAAAGTGGTTAGGCTATAATTTTTTGACCACTATTTGTATTTTTTTATATATTTATTTGGACATACATATACAGTGAAAGCTCCCATAAGCGGACACCGATGGTCACCTACTTTTTGCCCGCTTATGAGAATTTCGTAAAAAATAACATTAAAATTAAATTAAAAAAATTGAAATCGCGGGTTTCTACATTAAAAATAAACTCAAATTTATGGCGTTTTCATTCCTATCTACAAATTTATTGCCCGCTTCGCTCAAGTAGAAAGAAGAGGGCAAGGAAAAGGCAGCACATTTTCTAGTAAACAAAGTAGCTTTGAATATGGACTATTTTCTTGTGTACATATAGTACATAGTATGTATATCGACTGCTGAGTGGACCTATCTCGGCAGCCAGTTCGAAAACGCTCTATCTCAAAAAACTTTTCAAAAAAAGGAATTTTGCAATATTAATGTAAACTGAAAATTTAGTGCATTACCCGTAACTCTGATGGCAAACTTTCGTGGTACAGGTGTCATATTGTTCCACATGCCTTTTTTTCAGATGAGCAAAAGTCCCGAGTTCCTTAGTTTCGAAGCTGATAAATTACATGCTATTATAGAGAACAATAATTTGAATGTGCCTTGCGAAGAAGATGCTTTTCATGCTATTAAACGTTGGTATGAGTACGATGCTCCTGGGCGGCAACAGAAACTACCAGATTTAATCGGTTGTTTACGACTGACACAAATTGAAATGAGTTTCTTAATGGAAAACGTTCAATCATTGCCTGGATGTGAGGTATTGGCGTTGAGAGCAATATCGTGGATTGGTATACCTGCAAACCGAACAAAAATATCGTTGAAGTTCACAGCACCACGAGAAAATGTATGTAAATTGCTGGGAGAGACAACTTTGCTGGCGGTAAAATATGCTGTAAGTGTTATCGGATAGTAAATTTACTATATCATATCATATCGATGATCCTCTGCAATAACGGCACAGTTCAAAAAAACAAAAACCCTTACCACTGTTAATTGGCTCATGTCTCTAATCCTTACTATTTACGTAAGTGGAGCATGGATTAGAGACATGAGCCTCTTAAAAGTAGTAAGGGTTTTAGTTTTTTGAAATTTGAATTGTGTCGTTATTGCTAAGGACCATCGATATATGTATAAGGTCCTTTCAAGGATATATGTATATATGTAGATGCCTTCTGACGTGCCTTGGTGAGGGCTCCTCTGCAAGCAAGTGTCTGTTCGGGTGTCCACGTCTGTGGCTCCCTCCTAAGAATTGTTTGCAGAGCATTCTGTTGTGCTCCTTTATGGGCAGCATTTTCACCGTAGGAATTGGTGTGTCATTAACGTGAATGCCCAGCGGTAGTCTCCCTTGTTTTCAACAGAGATGCTCATTCCATTATTTCGTAAGGAAAAAGTGAAAAAGCAGGCTGTAAAATATCAGTTGTCAAAACTCCTTGGACAGTACTATTCACACACCCTAAATAATAGCAATTTATTTCTTGGCCGTTTACTTAAAAGGTCCTTACTTAGCTTGATACATTGAAATGAGAAATAAGCATGATTTTTAAAATTAAGCTTGGAAAACCTGAATAAGCAAAATAAGCAATTCCAAGCAAAACCCCTGTTTATATCTAATAATTCGGGTTTTCTAGTAAAAAGTGAATTTTCATATATCAATTCTGGTTTTTCGTGAAATTTTTAAAAAATTCTAAGGTAAGCATGTAAGCAAAAATATATCTAATAAAAAAATTCAGTCACGTAAATTTTCAGATAAAGTTATTCTATCATTCTTAGCATCGCCGCATATTTCTAGCGTTAACTTCGAAATTACGTGAGTTTTTCTGATTTTCTTTATGGGTGTTTTTAACTAATACGGTTGGTTTTTAAGTAAGCATGTAATTTTAAATAAATACTTTTTTTTATTTTCATGCAAATCGCTAAAAATTCTAAAATATGCATGCAATCAATAAAACCAATCTCGACGTGCTAGATAAACCCAAGCTGTGTTTTTATTTAACATACCCAGCAAACACAGTCTCTAACGTTATCGAAACATTTTGTTTTACAATTTTGTTCGCTAATGTTTCTCGAAGGAAGGAGAACTATGATAGAATTGGATGAATGATTAGAAAAACACTAGACATTAGAAAACAATTAGAATTCAACGTTAGAATACGATTTGAGAACTAAGTCCTCTTTTTTTAGAGAATGCTATAATTCTCGACAGATTATCTAATCGTCTTCTAATCTTCTACCTTAGAGTAAACACATTAGAATTCAAATCGGTTTCTAATCGAAGGGGGAACAATTTTGAATATATATAAAGAAAGTAATAAATATTTCAAATGGAAACGGCGAAAAGCACATCATTTACATCATTTCCGTCGATTCAGTGCCAAATTTTGACGTTTTGTTAAGAAATCTGCAATGTATGTAGGTTTGCAAATCGCACAGATTTCAAATCGTCCGATTTGCAGCACATGCCCATATATTCCAAATTGGAAGAAGGACTTGGTTTCACTTCGAATTTCCAATTGGTGTCAGTTGGCACAGAAGAACAACGACTCGAGTGCTTTGTTGAATTCGGCCAAAATCGCTTGGGCAGCTACAGCGGCAAACAATAAGAGGAAGACATAGAAGTGGTAACGATTACTGGCAGTCAAACCAAATCGGTAACGAGCAGAATAGACCTACCGGAAAAACTTTAACCACGAAATAATTAGTTTATGTAGTTTTATTGGCACAGCGTGCAGGGCATGTATGTAGGCTTCACCCCAGCCAGCAAGATAACTTACATTTTACGAACACGAGGGACACTCGATCGGCGAAAAGTTAGAGAAAGGCTCGTGAACAATAAAACAAAAACAAGATAAAAGAGAGAGGCTTGTAGTAATTTGTCAGCACAAGAAAAATTTTCCATCTTTTGGAAATTTTTCTTGAACCACAATATTTTATAATATTTAATAATATTCGCATACGAATGCTTTTTCGATCCGTTTACGACTGTCCGTAGGCGATCGACAATATCAAGCGAAAAAGTACTCGAAAACGAATCGTAAACGGCTATCATAAACGACTTTTTAGCCCGCTTTTCTTCAAGAAAATATCCAGTTTCGAGTTCGTTTACGATGATTTTGCTGGCTGGGACTAAGACAGCCCTCATGTAAAATTTAGGTTTTCGCTGCATTCTATGTAACTTTTCTTCGCTAGATATTTTATAAATATGTGTTTTAATTTCATGAATATTTGTTAAAATATGTATTAATACATACATGCGTGTGTATGTATAATGCAGGGCTGTAAAGGCACAATTTTCCAATATGACCAAACTGAAGATGAATGGCACAAATACGCTGAAGTAGAACATGATGCAAGCGAGTACGGAATGGTTCTTATGGAAGACAATATTATTTACATTGGTGGTGTACGAGATGGCAAAGCAACTAACGGTGTTAAAAGCTGGAGCTTAAAAACGAGAACGTGGAGGACGTTGCCTTCAATGCTTCAACAAAGAAAGTGGCGAAGTGCTGTACTATTAAATGGAAATGTATACGCAATTGGTGGACATAGCTCAGATGGAGAATATTCGAAGTCTGTGGAAAAGTAAGTATTTATGAAAATATGAAGCTTTTTTAATATTTCATAACGAAGCAGATAATATTTTGTATTCTTTAGTGTCAAAGCAAATCCTTTGAAATATTTGATTAAAGTATCCAATTAATGTATTTAGTGGCCCAATTTTGTATGGCGACTGATAGCCGATGGCCAACCATATACAAAAATTCTCATTACGTATGGCAACTGGCTACTGCCCGTCGGCTACTGAGTCTAGTAGCGCAAATTTCTGTTTCCCGTTTGTGACGATTTTGTTATTTGTTTACATAATTTGTTAAACGCATTGGAGCAAAGTTGCCAATTACTTCGAAATGTACATGTCAAAAAAAGTAAATTCGGATGTTGTCTGCGGTTTTCTGTATACTGAGATTAATCGCTTTACATAATACAAAGTACGATACTGGTAGCCAGGGCTACTAGACCATAATAATAAATATTAAATATTTTGCAAGTAAAGTAGTCTAAGCTCGGACAAACCCCAACTATATATATCCGTTGCTAGCTAGTTAGAAAATGGACATTTTTTCCAGCTTTGTCTATGTAAATTAGAGGGCTGCTCAAATGGTTATACTTTTACTGTAAGTATTGCACACTGAAATGCACTTGACAATAAATGAAGTGAAACTCATGGTTTGCTCGCAATCAAAACAAATACTGTAGTGTCGCTGCTGGCTATCGGTACCGCAATAGCAGTATTTGTTTAATGGTTTTGAATAAACTCAATTTTTTTTAATTTAGTTAAATTATACAGAAGTTTTTTGTGCATTAAATACTATAAAGTGAGAGTTTTAAGAAATCTCCAGCAATAACAATTAAAATATTTTTGAGGTGCTTGAAAAGGGTGGCCACGGTCACCTGTTTCAAACGTTAAACTCAAATTATTTAAGCGAAACTTATTACTTCAGCTGCGACATGCTTGCAATAAATATTTAACGCCACGGTAAAGGTGGTATATGGCGGGTACAGAAAACGAAACGACTAATGCAAAGGCGGGAATATAAACAAAAACAAAGATAACGATACAGGACGCGGCCCACCACGAAGCTACGCAAATTTAATGTTTGGAAGAGCAAAAATGTCAATTGATCTTATTTCGCTTTTGAAAAGGTAATAATGTCAATTGGCTTTATTTCGCACCAGTGTGCAAAATAGTGTCAATTGACCCCATTTCCTTTGATCTTGCTACCTGCCACCAAACGCACATAGCTGTCCAATATAAATTGTTTCATATTTCTTCTTTTGCAACGACTGTAACTGAAGTAAATATAATTGAATACGTTGCTAAACACGTTTGTGGGAGCAAAATATTCATTAGCATTCTATATGTTAGTGAAGAATAATACCCAATTATCTTTAAAAAGAATACATTTTAAGTTGGGTGTACTATCCTGTTATGAACGCATATTGAGTGCTGATTTCTGGCCAGTAAATGTGGTCGCGTGCCATTTTCGTTTTTTTGTTTTAAAAAAACCCGTGTCATCTAACCAAACTGCTTAGCTTCACCTCAACATGACAATAAACACTTGAAACATTTTTTTCATAACGCGTCGCGATTTAGTCTGCAGTGACCAATGACCTTTGGATCAATCAGGACGACTGTGAGGTCTCAAGATCCTTGTGGCCGCGACTCAATAGGAGTCGTACTGCTGCTACCGGTGTCATCACGGGCACTGTGCTATAGCACCAATGCTCCCACCGATGACGTATACCAACAAGCTCCCTCTGCAGAAGTTGTCGGCATGAGGATGAAGAAGAATTTATTCACAACTTATGTCAATGTCCAGCTCTCTAGACAAAGCGTCTCAAGCATTTGGGATCACGCTTTTTCAATAGCTTGGGGGAGATAGCGGAGGTGAATACATCGAACATCCACGGCTTCATCCGGCATAGTAAATGGGTGGATAGACTTTATACTTACGCGCGCACTGCTAACCACTACAACCACAGCAGCCTCCTCTGCTTTGGAAAGACCAGGTGGAGAAGGACTTGGCTTCACTTGGCGTTTCCAATTGTCGCCAGTTGGTACAGAAGAGAAATGACTGGCGTGCTGTTTTGGACTCGGCCAAAATTGCTTAGCCGGTTACAGCGCCAATAAAGAAAAAGAAGAAAGTTGAAAACACGATGTAGAAAAAACAAGTAGGTATTCAATCCCTGTGGAGGGTTTTGGAGCGGCACTCGGTTGAAAAGGAACATTGTACCCGTCTTTTCTTACACAGTAGAACAGCAATTCTTGGGTCTCAACCAAATTAAATATGTCCAAGCTTTATTATCCATACGTGGTAGTCAAAATCCAAGCGGATTTGGCTATGTTTGTGTCAAATTCCCTTGTAGAACATTTTGCTTCTGAGAGCCAGATACCTATGCATGTATATTTATCAATTACATCAAAAATTTAATTACCAACCCGTTTTTAGGTATTCACCCGGTAGCGAATGGAAATTAGTTAGCAGCATGATTACGCCACGAAGTCAAGCTGGTGCAGTGGCTTTGAATGACAAAATTTTTGTTATGGGCGGCTTTAATGGATACCGTTTAAAATCTGTTGAATGTTACGACCCATCTTCGAATATTTGGACACAGTGCGAGTATATGAATAAAGCTCATGATTTACCTGGGGTAAGTACAAATTTATTTACGTATTTACGTACAAATACAGGGTGGGCCAAATAAGACCTACCATCCATAGTTCATAGGTCCATAGTTTGGAACCACAAATTAGGATGCTGCTCTGCCGTTGGCCACAAAAAGTTGTCAATCATTGTTCTGTAAGAAGCCCCAGAAATCGTTTCTGGCGTTTCGCACCAAACAATGCAACTGGATGGGGGTAACTGGTGCTGGTGTGTTGCCCTTGGATTTTCAGAGCCCCACCATCTACAGTTTTACTTGGAAATGCGCTTCATCCGACATCAAAACATTACCTAAAAAATCAATTTGTGTGGCTAATTGTATAAAATGAATAGCGTATTGTAGTCGTTGTTGGTGGTTCTGCTGTAAGTATCCATTATGATTTTGCAAGAGGTTAACTATACCATGCATAAAGAAAATAACAATAATATTAAAAAATAAAGAAGTTAAACGTGTTTAACATTGGTTGGTATTATTTGGCCCACCCTGTACATGCACATGTATATGAAATTAAACGATCCCACCCGACTCAAAAACTTATGTTAGCGGATGTTGCGAGTTTACGATAGTTTCTCTTATCCTCAAGCTCCACCTCACCTAAGAGTCTCGTATTTCAAACAGAAGTTTGTATTTTTACTTTTATATCCGTTGCCTGTATCGAGTATGTATTTATTAATTTTATAAGTTTTCTCTTACTTTTTTTGGACAAAATATTCGAAAAGTATATAGAAGGAGACATCGCTTTAATAAAAATTATGTTAGAATTTTACAACACATTAAAAAAGTAAAATATCAAAAGTAAGTAAATGTAATTTGAGCATAAATTCATATGTAGGTATATTTACATTAGGATGGTCCAAAAAAAAGTTAAGTCGACATTTTACCGCTCTCACCCCCCAAGGAAAAATTATACCCCTGTTTTTTCTTTTATTTTGAAATCAAAAAAATATTTAGAGGTCGCCCAAAGCGCTCAAAGTTTTCCATGTATTTGATATGGCGAATAAAAAAAGTTTTCGTAGAAATGGTATAGAATTTTTGAAAATCAATATTTTTTAGTCGGAAAACTTTTTTTCTCTTCAGGAGACTGCCAATAATAAAACCCAATTCTTTATTATATAATTTTTTGATACTAACGATTTTTTATGGGTCTCACATTGCATATTTTGAGGTTTTTACATTTATATATGTATGAAAAAAAAACGATGTACGAAATATGTACACATCGAGCCCTAATTGCGATTTTATCGTAAGCGACAAATTATCGAAAACATTGTTTTTGTTGCAAATAGGTTATAAATACTAGTTACAACGTCCTGCACAATCACAGACTTTGAATATTTACCGTTACGGAAAGAAAGCAAAATGAATTTTATCGTTTGCTTTGTTTACACTTTTGAATTCCTACAATTTTATCGCAAGCGACACTGTGTGTACATAACTTAATTGTAAATAGCTGTTCGAACTGTGCTTTTAACCAAAGTTCCATCGGCACTTGCTACAACTGAAGGTTTAAAAATCAGCTTCTTTCCCTCACCAAAATTAGGTGCAATCTGCCATTATGCAATTGCAGCTACAGTCAGTAAGTGCAGCGTGGCTCGTCTGGCGGGGTCTTTTTTAAAACTCGTGCTTTGTCAATGGGTTATAAGATTTAAAAGCGTACCAGAAAGTTGAAAAACAAACACCTAACGGTGCTTATATTCCTATTGTATGCACTGGTATAGGAAAAATTGGAACTGAATTCGAAATTGCCATTTTAACACCACCGCTTATACGGCCATATGGATTCACGCTTTCGAAATTATTTCATTTTACCGTTTATCTCCTTTCAAATTGCTGATCAGATTTTGAATTATCACTTTTGCTTATCATAACTTTTGCATTTCAGTCTTTTTTTTTATATAAAATTTTAGTGTTTGATTAAAAGTTTTCGTTTAGCAATTTTTTTCTCTCCAATAACTAGGTTTAAAACGCACGACGAGTCGAGGAATATAACAACAGATTTCGAAACTTGCCAAAAATGTCCCTAATATGAAGATTTTGGCACTGAACGTATTCTAGTCAAGGATTAAATTTTACTTTTTTCTGATTCTTTAAAAAAAAAGACGTGAAAAAATACCAAATAGTAGCGCCAATGTGGTCGTTTTAGTTTGTAGAGAATTGAATGAGCTTAAACTCTGCATCCACGAAGACAACTTGTGGACTATCTAGTAGATGTGCCAAACAGTTAAAGTTTAAAATCCCTGAAGGGAAACCGCGGACTAGTGAATCAAATTTCTAGTTCCGTACTAGGTCTTTATCGCCAAAAAGGAACTAGTCCGATAGGAACTAGATCCCCACCAGTCCAAAATCGGCGAAAAGTGGTACTTTTAAGAAACTAATTTTTTCAGATTTTTTCACTAGAAATCTTTATCTAAAGTGACGAATTTAGAAATGGTTCGGAATTATAGAAAAAGGGATGCAGAACGAACTTGATCCTATTTGTCGAATTTAGAACTATTTCGGAACTATCGAATAATGGATCCAGCGGGGAGTTTGTTTACTTTACATAGATATGTGTTCGGCGGCTTTTTCGTTCAAATGCGCTTCAATTCTGTGCTTCGCAGATGCTATTTCATAGTTTGGTAATACAAAACAAAGCTTTGTGTTAACATGCTAACATCTTGGGGCCGTCTGGAATCTAACCAATAACAGCGAGCACCTCTGCAAACTCTGCTACAGCCAAAGGTGTGTAAACGTACATTTCTTACAATCATTCAAACAAATTTAATTTAAAATTTGAAAAAATGTTTCTTTGAAAATAATGTAAAATCGCACACGGAAGAACCGAAAAGATTGAAAAATCATAATACCTTTTTCTTTCGTCTGTCGATTTTAGAACTGGTTCGGAACTATAGAATTTAGGACTAGTTCGGAACTATCGAAAAAGGGATGCAGCGGGGGGCAATTACACTTCCTAGGACATCGCCATGTTAAATTCGCCAGTTGCTTGCATGCAAAAGAGATTTATCGCGAACCAGTACTGGGTCTAAATGTACTAGAAGCGCCCCAGTTCAGAACTAGAGATTTTCCCCACAGGGATATGTTGAGCTTATTCTGCTGATTGACAATGTTTATATTTAATTGACTTAAAATTCAGTTTTTTTCAAAAAATCCTTAAAGTACCCGCACTCCTTCGTTTATAAATATCCAAATTATACAACATAAAAGCTATCGCAAGCGCCAATTCTTTGATAACTTTCCTCTCAGCATGTTCTGGAAAAATATCGTAAGCGCCATTTTACCTTTAGAAAATAAGGTATGCAAAAAATAAATAGTCCCATTAGAAAGTTATCATTCAATAAGGAGAATTAAAAAAAACCTCTCCTGTAAAATTTACCTTTTGTCGCTTTCGATAAAATCATAATCAGAGGTCGATATGTCCTAATGTATGCATAAAACTTCACATTTTAGGCAGCCGTACACGATGGATGCATATACGTTTTAGGAGGTAATTGGGAAGATAAAACAGTCGAGCGTTATCACCCTGAAAGTGACAAATGGACAAAGGTTGGTTGAAATAGTTACACCAAAAATTTAAAAACGCCAAAACACAATTTTTTATTACTTCTCATAGATGTGCTCTTTGAATGTTGGACGTAGTGGAATGGGTTGTGTTTTTGTAGGTGATAAACTGTGGGCTGTCGGAGGTCAACAAAACTATACATTTACAAATGCCGTATCAGTTTACTATGCCGAATATGATGAATGGGTCGAAAAGAAACCAATACCTGAAGCAGGTCGATACAGGTGTTATGTTGTGCCTAAAGCTTTACTTCAATGTGAATAAGAGATAAGGAAATTTACAAAGTACTTAGTTGAAGACTTACTAGAGATCAATGTATTTATTTTGCTAACGCAACTTTTAATTTTCAGCTTATCTTGAACATGAATTTTAGTTTAATGGTTTCTATTACTTTAAAATATGTTTGTTTGTAAAATGCGTTTTTTAAATATATAGTAAATATATCCAACAAGGTAGAAGTGATTTTGATGGTTCTCCGTTTTGGACTGCGACTGGAATATCAAATAAATAATAGATATTCGAAATCGTATTAAAGGAATCGGTTTCTTTTTCTTTTTCTAACACTATATATCGATGGCTGAGTGGAAGATCGACTTATCTCGACAGCCAATTCGAAAACAGCCTATCTCAGAAAACTTTGCAAGAATGCCCTACTTCAGAATTTGATTGAGAACGCCCTTTTTCAGAATTCAGTTCATAAACGCCCTATCTCAAACGAAAATACATTAGGGTTATTCCCGGAGTCTTGCACGTAGCACGGAATATATCAAATGCAAAAATACTATTCCAAATTTGCAAGAGTACGAGAGCCCCTCATCGCAAAATAGTAGCATGCATTGGTAGAGAACAGCGAAGTTCTGTATCAAATACTATACCAAGATACAGCAAAAAAAGATGAAGTGAGCGAAATTAGAGTAATGAGAGAAATATGTAGCAATTCCAACAACAAAACAACTAGCAAAGAGTCGTATTTATCTTGCTATGCTTTTTTGCAAAATATATACATACATGGGCTTCGACGTTGCATATTTTGCAGCGATAGGAAATGATGTTTCCCATGTATTTTGTTGTTGTGTATTTGCAAGTTATGCAATCTGTGCTACGTGCAACAACTTTGCGAAATTTCGAGAATACTCCTATTGAAAATGTGCTGGGATAGTGCGTTTTTGAACCGAATTCTGAGATAGGGTCTTTTTCAATCAAATTTTAAAATAGGGCGTTCTTCAACCAAATTCAGAAATAGGGCGTTGTTGAAAAATTTTCTGAGATAGGGCGTTTTCGAACTGGCTGCCGAGATAGGTCGATCTTCCATCGATATAGTCGGCTACAAAGAGAGCTAAATTTGATTGAGTTAGCGCCTTCCTATATTTAATTTTAAAGTAACGATATATGCCTACTAGAAGTGTCGAATGAAAATAAATCATTCTTTGTGAACTTCTATTACCCAGCTTCACC